CCCTGCAGGACACTCTCTCTGCTCTGGAGAGCAGCTTCAGTAACAGACTAATTCACCCTCGCTGTGTGAAGGAGAGGTTCCATAGGTCTTTCCTTCCTGCTGCTGTCAGACTGTACAACGAGAATGTGTAACAGGAACTGCTGAGTCTGCACAAGTGTTTCTGATAACTCACTAGTAACTTTGTCACTAGTCACTTTACCTGTTATCAGTACTACTACAGTACTACATATCTGATATTTACTGTTATCAGTACTACTACAGTACTACATATCTGATATTTACTGTTATCAGTACTACTGTATTATTTCATATCTGATAATTCTGCCTTTCACCGTCACTTTACCTGTTGATATTATTTCTGATGTTTTTTCTGCTCATATTCTCTGCTGCTAATGTATAATATAGACATCTGTAAATACTCCGAACCAAGTGCAATTATAGCCCAGAGTTTTTCTTATTTTATTTTATCTTAAATTTATTGTCCATTATCTTAAATAATAGACTTTGATGTGTGCAATCTGAGTGCTCTTATTTCCTTTCTCTGCTGTAATGTGCAACGATGACACTGAAATTTCTCCACTGTGAGACTAATAAAGGTTTATCTTATCTTATCTTACTTTCATACAGGCATTTGGAACACCGTGAAAACTACAAAGATAAAGGAGGAGAGTAAATGTCCATACAGTAAATCACACAATAAGTATCAGGTCTCAAAATAAAAGACACAATGAAATAAAAAGGTTACCGTGGGCGCCTTAGTAGACCAATCGTAGAATAATACTCTTTCCAAGCTGCAAAAACGTCTCTTTATAACAGCATACTTTAAAATACTTCTCCGTTTCTTCTTTGAGAAGCAAACTTAAACGGCCGCAAAAATGATCTGAGTTGCTATGGCAACCAAAGCGTCAGTTATACTCAGCTATAACTTGAGTTGTCATGGTAACCTTAGCGCCAGTTACAATCCGCTCCCACAGACGGACGGGTTAATGATCCAGGACCTAAGCTACTGAACGTGGGCCGGGGCCACGCAGGGGCCGCAGAGCGTGGACAGGTCCGGTACGGGACTGAAACAGCTCCCAGGCAGGTCGGGCAGGGCAGTCCACAGGTGTAGATTGAGGAGATTGTTGTCGCATCATGAAACAGACACAATAGGACAATGGGTGAATAGCAATGAACAGACTACAGTCAAAATCCTAATAATGTAGATGGATAAAGTAGGAAGGAGGAGAGGATAGTGCTCAAATTACCATACTTCTCCAGCAGGGGGCTCCCTATGCAGCTTGACTGACAGTCTGAGGAGTTCATCCTTCCCTGAGTCTTACCGTCCTAACCATATGCTAAACTAAGAGGACTGTTTTAGTCTAGCCTAGAACAGAAGGTTGAAGATGCAGCGGACCAGGTCCCATACAAGCAGACTCCAAGACCAGACGAGACCTGACCGGACAAACAACGTAATCATATTCTAAATTGATTTTCTTTAGCAGATTGGATTATTGCAATGGTATTTTTACAGGGCTCAGCAAAAAATCCATACGACAGCTGCAGCTGATCCTACTCAAATGTTTAAATGTTTTTGTATTTGTGAGTCCTTACAAATACAAAAAAATGAGATCATATCACACCAGTTTTACAATCTTTACCCTGACTTCCAGTCTGTTATAGAAGAGACTTTAAAGTAGTACTAGAATTTAATATGCTGCTATCCAGAATATATAACTACAATATGTGTTTATAATATTTCGGGTGTTCATTTTGACATGTTCAGATGAATTATGTTAAAAAAACAGCTTTGAAGTGGCACCTTTTCACTTCCGCATTGAAACGCTAGGGGGCGCCAAAATGGCGGCGATGACGTAGGAGAAGGACCTCTCACAGCAGCAGCAGCAGTCTGGGCTGAATCTGTAGGAGGTTTCACTGTCATCTGAACAAGGTATAAACATAATTTCATCAGTTTGTACATAATAGTGTGCAACTCTTTTAACCTTTTAGCCTTATTTGTGAGATTCAAGCTAATTAGTGTTGGGCAAGTTAGCTAACTCTACTTGATATCATAAAACATGCTAACAAGGCTAATATTCGTTTTTACATTATGCCAGTCTCACTTTGCCTTAGATTTATTTACCACAATGTACTTTGTAATATCCATAAATGCTAATCAAAACAACTTGAATTAAATAAATATTTTACTTTTATGAACAAAAAGCTGCAGAAGTAGAAAACATAGACTACATGTGATGCAATCATTGATAAAAATGCTAATTAAACCGTTAATAGGTGTTAGCATTTATGGATATTATTGGGGCGACAGTAGCTCAGTTGGTAGAGCATTGGCCTTTGAGCCTGAAGGTCGTGGGTTCAAGCCCATCATAAGACCTACTTCACGACTCCCACTGATGTCTGCTGTCGTTGTGTCCTTGGGCAAGACACTTAACCCCACTTTGCCTGAAGCCCCCACTGAAAGATCTCAGCTCCTGTGGACTCAGCACCTGCAGGAGGATCAGTGAGGGGCTGGTGCTCTGTGAACTGGGTGCAGCTCTGACTGCCACCCCTGACCCAGAAATGGATTAAGGGGAAGAAAATGGATGGATGGATGGATATTACAATGTACATTGTGGTAAATAAATCTAAGGCAACCAAAGTGAGACAAAAAACAAATATTAGCCTTGTTAGCATGTTTTATGATATCAAGTAGAGCAGGGGTGCTCAATACGTCGATCGCGATCTACCAGTCGATCGCAAAGGTAGTATTGGTAGATCGCATTAAATAAATAAAAAATTATACATCATAAACGAATATATACAAAAACTCCGGGCAAAGTGGAGATTTTTGAAAACTCCCGTTAATGCATTTGCGTGTAGCCAGAGATGACCGGAGTTTTGCGTTCTCGCACGACACAGTACCCCCCTAAATTCCTCTGATCACTGAAGCATGGATCATACTACCTTAAAAACTGTTCGCTGCTGAGATGCTCGCAGCAGCGAACATCCTCCACATCAGAGAGCAGCAAAGTGATCGCGGGGACTCACGCTCGAAAACAACCAAACCAGGACTAAACCAGGACTAAACCAGGACTAAACCAGGACTAAACCAGGACTAAACCAGGACTAAACCAGGACTGAGGACGGGGTCAGTGCTTGTAAACATACGTCTTTACCCCGAGTGTCTTCTATGACTGTAAAAGTGCCGTTACCGGGGTCTGCATCAAAGCTCCGCCCACTTCTGTGTTTTTCCCCAACGCAGGACAGGACGTAAGAGACGCACGTTTGGAATGTTACGAATGTGATTGAGAACCATTATAGATCCATGTTGATAACGCAGATATGTGGTTATGTGTGGATGCAAATTATTTTATAAACGGAGGAGGGGAAATATTCGGATTTAAAAAAAACCAGGCATGGCACATGGACATGGCACCACAGTCAAATGACATCTGCCTTTTACTCAGTAATGTTTTACTGACACTTAGGTGACTGCACATGTGTTTTACTCAGTAATGTTTTACTGACACTTAGGAGACTGCACATGTGTGTTTTACTCAGTAATGTTTTACTGACACTTAGGTGACTGCACATGTGTGTTTTACTCAGTAATGTTTTACTGACACTTAGGAGACTGCACATGTGTGTTTTACTCAGTAATGTTTTACTGACACTTAGGTGACTGCACATGCACAAACAACTGCGCTCAGTGCAGGAAAGCTAAACCACGACAAACTTGTCAGCGAGTTACCGCCAATTTTCCGGACTATGCCTCCCTGGCCGATTCAATTCAGTGCAAGTCATCAGAGTAAACTCGGGTAATGACAACAAATGTACATAGTTAATTGTGTTGTGTTGTGCTATATTGGCTCATGCCGTTTTGCATGTACATAAACATACATTGTAGATATAAAGAATCCTCAATATTTTTAAAAATAAATATATGTTTTTCATTTTTGTAGTAGGTAGATCATTTTGACTTATAATAATAATAATAATAATAATAATACATTTTATTTATAATGCACTTTACATTTCAGGGAAACCTCAGAGTGACTTGATAATTTTATAAGTAGCTCGCATGCTGAAAAAGTGTGAGCACCCCTGAAGTAGAGTTAGCTAACTTGCCCAACACTAATTAGCTTGAATCTCACAAATAAGGCTAAAAGGTTAAAAGAGTTGCACACTATTATGTACAAACTGATGTAAATATGTTTATACCTTGTTCAGATGACAGTGAAACCTCCTACAGATTCAGCCCAGACTGCTGCTGCTGCTGTGAGAGGTCCTTCTCCTACGTCATCGCCGCCATTTTGGCGCCCCCTAGCGTTTCTATGTGGAAGTGAAAAGGTGCCACTTCAAAGCCGTTTTTTAAACATAATTCATCTGAACATGTCAAAATGAACACCCGAAATATTATAAACACATATTGTAGTTATATATTCTGGATAGCAGCATATTAAATTCTAGTACTACTTTAAAGAGCTTCTCCTGGTGTACAAGGCACCGAATGGACTTGCATCATAATATGAGCAAGATCTGCTTGTTTCATATGAAAATGAGAGGGTCCTAAAGTCCTCTGGGACGGGTTTACTCTGTGCCCCAAATGTCAGGACCAAAAAGAGTGAAGCAGCATTTAGTTTTTATGCTCCTTGTCTGTGGAACACTCTTGAGGAAGGACCCGTCCACCCACCTGGAGAGGGCTAGGAACCTTTTTCCGGTCAGGTGTTTTCATTTTAATGTAATTTTATCTGTTTTGTTTACGTATAACTTTGCTACCTCTTGGCCAGGACTCTCTCGAAAAAGAGGTTTTTATTCTCAATGGGATTTTTCCTGGTTAAATAAAGGTTAAAAAATAAATAGATGGTTGAATGGTAAACTACTTTTCAGTTTGTGAGTTCATATTTACTCTTGTACTTTCAGGCTACTTCCCCCAAAAGGGCTGTGCTCAGTCCTACACCTGTCCATCGACTGTAGAAAATGAGATTGTTTCATATCATTTGGGCCCTTTCTCTTATTTGATGAACATCACATGCTGTGACACAGACGGCTGCAATGCTGCCAACCAAACCAGTGAGTCTGTTCTTTTCTACTATTATTTTGTATTATTTTTAAATAGTTATTTTTTTCCACCTCTTTAATACTGTGTTCCTGCTGTAGCTGCAATATGCACATAGAAACAGAGCTTTGTTCCTCCTGTACTATCTGCTGCGGCGGCTGTTAGAAATGTTAGTAAAGACTGAAGAGACTGCTGTGGAGTTTTTGCAGCGTGTGTATAAGGTGCAGCGTGTGTGTCACAAATGGGGACTCGTGAGTCAGACTAAACACGTACTTATATCCAAAACACTCAATGCAGTGGTGCTTCAGGTGGGCCTGAAGGTCATGGGTTCAAGCCCATCATAAGACCTACTTCACGACTCCCACTGATGACTGCTGTCGTTGTGTCATTGGGCAAGACACTTAACCCCACTTTGCCTGAAGCCCCCACTGAAAGATCTAAGCTCCTGTGGACTCACCACCTGCAGGAGGATCAGTGAGGGGCTGGTGCTAAATGTACTGGGTGCAGCTCTGACTGCCACCCCCCGACCCAGAAATGGATAAAGGGGAAGAAAATGGATGGATGGAAGTGCTTCACACATCAACATATAACACAAAAAAGCATATCTTCAAATTGACTTTCATGATATCATTGTCTACGATATATTTTTCCCGTAGTTGAAACTGTTCTTTTCTTTCAACAGTCATGGTTTCAGAAGGCTCTCTGCAGTGTTACAGCTGTTACTACAACTTAAGTGAATGCACAGCTGTGACCTGCAACGAACTAGAGGTCTGTGCTATGAGTCTTCGTAAGTACCACTCCTTACTGAGCCCCAATGTGTATATTTCAACTAGGTACAAAAAATTAACAATACTGTCTGAACTCTCAACCTAACAGACTGAACAGAAAGCACATCTGAACACTTATTTTTATCCTTGAATTTCAGGTAACGCCACAGTGCAGCTTTACGGATGCGTCTCTAAGAATTTGTGCAACTCTAACTTTGGGCAACGTTACTTTGGCGAATTATCATGCTGCGACACACACCTCTGCAACGACCCAACCAAGAATACTTGTAAGTGAAAATCTAAATGTGAAATAACTTTGTTTCCGATGACAAAAAGGCTGAACGTTGTCATTAAATAAAACTAACCGTAAAAACAAACAAAACAAAATATGTACATACAGTACATATATTTACACAATTATATCCACTCACTGTAACTTGTATTACGTAACATTTTACAGTAACTTTGGCTTGTGCAGGAAAGGGTGTGCATTTTGTTTGTATATTCCAAATATGAAAGATCCAGCGTGGGATTTATCAATCAAAGTTCAATCAAAGTTTATTTGTAGAGCGCCTTTCATACACAGGGCAACACAAAGCGCTTCACAGTCCACATCACAAATCATCACATAAAACAAACACCAGAATCACAATTAAAACATTAAAATCACACAAAAGATTAACACCATTAAAACTTTTAAAATTATAAATAAATAAACTTAAAAAAAAAAAATAATAAATGACAAAAGTGCATTAGAAATGGAGATAAAATCCTTCAGTTGTAGCACAGGCAAACAGAACAGTCTTTAACCTGGATTTGAACATTGACAGAGTAGACGCCTCCCTCACATTTTCAGGGAGATTGTTCCAGATCTTAGCTGCATAGATCTGAAACGCAGCCTCCCCATGTTTGGTTCTCACTCTGGGCACCAGCAGGAGTCCAGTCCCTGTGCTCCTCAGAGTCCCAGCAGGAGTCCAGTCCCTGTGCTCCTCAGAGTCCCAGCAGGAGTCCAGTCCCTGTGCTCCTCAGAGTCCCAGCAGGAGTCCAGTCCCTGTGCTCCTCAGAGTCCCAGCAGGAGTCCAGTCCCTGTGCTCCTCAGAGTCCCAGCAGGAGTCCAGTCCCTGTGCTCCTCAGAGTCCCAGCAGGAGTCCAGTCCCTGTGCTCCTCAGAGTCCCAGCAGGAGTCCAGTCCCTGTGCTCCTCAGAGTCCAGCAGGAGGCCAGTCCCTGTGCTCCTCAGAGTCCCAGCAGGAGGCCAGTCCCTGTGCTCCTCAGAGTCCCAGCAGGAGTCCAGTCCCTGTGCTCCTCAGAGTCCCAGCAGGAGGCCAGTCCCTGTGCTCCTCAGAGTCCCAGCAGGAGTCCAGTCCCTGTGCTCCTCAGAGTCCCAGCAGGAGTCCAGTCCCTGTGCTCCTCAGAGTCCCAGCAGGAGTCCAGTCCCTGTGCTCCTCAGAGTCCGGGCCGGTTCATATGGGACCAACATGTCACTAATGTATTCTGGTGCAAGGCCATGGAGAGACTTGTAACAAGCAGAGCTGTTTTAAAGTCTATTCTCTGAGCCACAGGAAGCCAGTGCAGAGACCTGAGGACCGGACTAATATGGTCGTACTTCCTGGTTCTAGACAGGACTAATGTGGTCGTACTTCCTGGTTCTAGTCAGGACTAATGTGGTCGTACTTCCTGGTTCTAGTCAAGACTAATGTGGTCGTACTTCCTGGTTCTAGTCAGGACCAATGTGGTCGTAATTCCTGGTTCTAGTCAGGACTAATGTGGTCGTACTTCCTGGTTCTAGTCAGGACTAATGTGGTCGTAATTCCTGGTTCTAGTCAGGACTAATGTGGTCGTACTTCCTGGTTCTAATCAGGACTAATGTGGTCGTACTTCCTGGTTCTTGTCAGGACTAATATGGTCGTACTTCCTGGTTCTAGTCAGGACTAATGTGGTCGTACTTCCTGGTTCTTGTCAGGACTAATATGGTCGTACTTCCTGGTTTTGACAACAGTGTTGACAACAACTGTGTAAAGTTTCAGACTTCTAAGTTTTATAGTTTTTATGCAGTTTCTCTTTTTTATCAAGTAGTGCCATTTGGAACCAATTTGGCAAAATGTGTGCCACATTGTGCCAAACTGCTTTACTAACATTTCACTATCATAAAAAGCATATTCTTTAGTTTTGGTACTTATAAGTTACAAATCTGTGTGATTTTCTTTTAAATTTTTTCAAAATTAATTTTTTTGTAGAGTAAATGCATATAAAATATGCGCAGCAGTACTAACAGCGTCTTTACGCACGCTTTTACTGCGAAAATGAAAAGATTTCCTACAAGTCCCACCCATCAAAAGAAAGCTCTTTTTATTGGCTACTTAGACACGTCAATCATTCAGTGCTAGCTCATAGCGCTAGCCTGTAATCAACAACAAGGGAAAAAGGACCCTGTGCAAGTGGATGCGGTTTGTCTTTTTCACAAGGGTCCTGTGGACTGAAACCTGCTCCTATCTTTTCATGGAACCTCTCTTTTTGAAGCTAAGGACTCAAGGAATACGTGGATATGATGTTTGTGGCTAAACAAAGCTCACACTTGGTGAAATGTGAAAGAGAAGCCTGAACATTTTTCGGAGCGTTTTTCTTTGCAACAGAAAAATGCACATTTTTGGATTATTTCTGAAGAATGGATTATACTTTGGGAAATACAAGTGGATATTCTTTTTCACTGAAGACTTACGGAGAGAAAGAGACTAAGCAAGGATGGGGAAAGTCTAATTTGTTGGAGCAGCAGAAGACAAAAAGGTAAGAAACTTACACAAACATGATTTATTTTGTGCCCATATTATGCGTTATATCTTTTTAATGCAAAGTCTGATATTGTTATATAAATATAGCTGAGAAAATAAGCTTTAAAATGATATATAGCTTGTGGATTATGAAGTTCGAAATACATTTGCTATTGCCAGCAGAAGTACTTTTTTTCTCGTTTGCTCGTTCCCGCGAGCTTAAGGGGTGTTAAGTCTGAGTCCAGTATTACCCCTAGATTTCTGACCTTGTTTGAAGGTTTTAGGGAGAGAGACTGGAGGTGACAGATGACGCTCTCTCTTTGTTTCTGGGGACCAAAGACAATCATTTCAGTTTTGTCTGCGTTTAGCTGAAGGAAGTTGTTTTGCATCCACTCACTGATCTGTTGGATACAGTGAAGGAGTGAGTCCACTGGTCCATGTTCTCCTGCAGTCAGTGAGACATAGATCTGAGTGTCGTCTGCATAGTTATGATAGGACACTTTGTTTCTGCGTATTAACTGACCTAACGGCAGCATGTAGAGATTAAATAGGAGAGGTCCCAGGATCGACCCCTGTGGTACTCCACAGGTCAGGGCCATATGATCTGAGACACAGTCTCCAATCTCCACAAAGTACTTCCTGTCTTCAAGGTAAGACCTAAACCAGTTTAGGGCTGTGCCAGTGACACCAACCCAGTCCTCTAGTCTCTGCATGAGGATCTCATTTATGAACGTCTGAGATCCGCCCAGATCCGAGCGTACGCACCTGCGGCTGTTGATAAATGCCGGGCTGAAAACAAACATATTTATGAAAGTCACGCCTATAAATATGCAGTAATTGCCTGTTTCACGGCCAGGAAGACTGTTTGGAAGCCTCAAAAGGCATGTGATACGCAATCCTGAAGAGTTTAGTTTGTTCATGTTTGTTTAAAAAATATATAAACGCTATATTCAGCTGCGTTTCCAATGAACAAATTTGCAAAGCTTTATTGGTAAATTGCCAAAATATCTCTTGAACTTTTAGAAGTAAATAAATAAATATTAATATCTCTGCCTCAGTGGTGGCTCTCATCATTACCAGGATGAAGCGATGAAGCGTCATCTTCTTTCGAATGCAAGGGAGCAGCGATCTCTATACACTTGAGAGATGATGAGTATTGGGCGCTTTTGGGAAGTAGTGGTCCATAAACTCTGGATCCAAAACTTCTGAATGACGCGCACCACATTTGAGGAGTTATGCGGTGGGACCTGTCGCGGCACCCGCTGCGCACTGCACAAGACCTAACTTAACTGACCTAACGGCAGCATGTAGAGAGCCACTGCCCAAGAGAGCCACTGCCCAAGAGAGCCACTGCCCAAGAGCCACTGCCCAAGAGAGCCACTGCCCAAGAGCGCCATTGCCCAAGCGCGCCATTGCCCAAGAGAGCCATTGCCCAAGTGAGCCATTTCCCACAGATAAGCGCGTTGCCATCCTATCTACAGTGTTGTGCGTGAACGAGTTCAAAAGAAAGCGCTTATTGAACACGCTCACACATTATTTTATAAAGAACTTGAACGTGAATTAGTTCACATTATGTGTCATGAACGGCAGACATTTTGTTTTCCATTGAAAACTCAGTGATATCTGTTTTCTCTTTTGAAACGCACATTTTCCGCCGATGATTGTTAGTTACCTAATATAACTTAAGTTCTACGAATGGTGCTCCGCCCCTTAGAAGGCTTCGCTATGGGTAACTCAGAGGCTCCCAGCCTCCCGCCAGAGAGAACTAAATGCTCCAATCACGTGCCAGTCCCATCTATAAATAGCCCTCTGCAGCCCATACCTGCCACTTTGAAATCGCCAAAGCCAGGCTGGACTGATGGGCCCGTATCTAAGGGGCTACGCACCATTCGTAGAACTTAAGTTACATTAGGTAACTAACTATTCTACTTCACGGTGCTCCGCCCCTTAGAAGCCTTTGCTATGGGTAACCACGCGTAAGCCGTAGGAGAAATGTACTCCCATCAGGCCAGCGTAGAGTGATTGGAGCCCTGCCTGAGAAATCCCCAGCACCACCAAGGTGAAGGCCTCAGGGCAGGAAAGAAAAACGAACGCAGTGTTGGAAGGCCGCTCCTATCAAGGACGCCGAGACACACTGACAAAACTTCAAACCAAGTACACAGAACCAGGCCGCTCCTAACAAGGACGCCTTAGGTTCCGTCAAGACGTCCCTTGTAATCAGTGCAGATGCATTCCCAGGGCGCCTCCAAAAGCTACCGAAGGGGAGACCGGAACATCCCGGAGGGAGAAGGCAGGGAGGGTGCTCGAAAGGCCTGGAGGTCTGACCGTGTAGCGCTGCGTGAGACAGATGGACCCTGATCCTCTTTCCCACTCATAGCAGCCTGTCGCTTACGCTTGGGTGCTCAACAGGGCTGAACGTCCGCCCGCGGAGCGCTGCATGAGACAGATGAGCCCAGACCCTCTGTCTCACTAATATCAGCCTGCCGCTAATGCCCGGGTGCTCGGCAGAGATGGAAGTCTG